GATTTCTATCTGAGACCTCCTTAGAAAGATCTTTACAGTCCATATTTCTATCAGCATTCTGCCCGCCACCTTGTAACCAGTCTCTAAGCATTCCAAACTTTCTCTTGTCTTTTTGTCTTCTTCTGAATTCTCCAAACTCCTCCAACCCTTGCCCAACACCCACTTCCAAAGCCGCTTCCACATTTTCGAGTATCTGTTATAAGCAACATCCCACTTCTATGGTATCAATTTTCTGTATTAGTACATTTCTGTGGCTTATAACAAAATACCTGAAACTGGGTGATTTATAAAGAAAAAATGAAATTTATTGCTTACTGTTTCTGAGGCTGGGAAGTCCAAAGTTCATCTGGTGGTGGCAACAGTGACCCAGGGGTCTCNCCACATTTTCGAGTATCTGTTATAAGCAACATCCCACTTCTATGGTATCAATTTTCTGTATCAGTACATTTCTGTAGCTTATAACAAAATACCTGAAACTGGGTGATTTATAAAGAAAAATGAAATTTATTGCTTACTGTTTCTGAGACTGGGAAGTCCAAAGTTCATCTGGTGGTGGCAACAGTGACTGAGGGGTCTCACATTGCAAGATGGTGGAAGCAGAGAGAGCAGAGAGAGACAGACAGACTCTCCTTTCTCTTCTTTTAAAGCCCTCAGAACCACGACCCTGACCACCATTTTTAATCCATTGACTACTGCACGGTCCTACAATCCAACCACCTCTTCAAGGCTCCACCTTTCAATTACTGTAATAGGATTTCCCACCCTCTTAACAAGTCATGGTGGGGGCTAAGTTTCTAAGGCACAAAACTTGGGAGACAATTCAAGCTGCAATGAGTTTTGGGGGGACGTAATTCAGCCTGCTACACCCTTATGCTTGATTAGTTTCCTCGGGATTTCCTAAACCCTGTCACCCTTCCTACCTCTAGGCTTTTGCCTATGCGTCCCCTCTCCTAGATTTCCCTTCCGCTCTGAGCATCTTTGGGACAGCTCAACTGCCAATGCACCTCAGAAGGTTTTCCAGCCCTCTCCCCCCACCAGCAGTAGCCTTCCCTTCCCCACCAACCCGACCCCACCACCCTGGACACATCGGCCTGACAGTGGGGGTGTGTTCCAGAGGGGGTCCTCTGTTGTTCTGGGCAGAGGGGTGGTTGGAATTGTCCCCTCTTGGGGTTCCCAGAGCTTGTGCAGAGCCTGGGGCAGGGCAGGGGTCAGGACAGAAGTACAGAGTGACTGGAAATTGGTGGCAGCCACAGAGCTTTCCTGCTTCCTGGTCACTCCCAGTTGTCTCAGGTGTGACAGTGCCAGCCTAGACAGGATGATCGGGCCTGCTGTACCCCTGGCCCAGGTCCAGGGTGGACAGGATCAGACCAGTTTGCTGAGGCCTGACTGGTGTGGAGGGGTTGGGCACTTCAAGGTCAGGTTTTTGGGACCATTGAAAAATTAGTCTTTGGGTCTGGTGGAGAGGCAAGTATGCTGGAGACTGATGTTCAATGCCTTGGTTTAATGGTCCCTTTGTTCTTTTATTTCTATAAAAACCAAACAAACGTGCATTTGAAGTGTTTTATCAGGACCTGCCACATAGGAAGCAGTCAGTGTCGGCCATCTGTGAGAGGATGTGGTGGAGATTGACAGTCACTAGCATGGACTTCAGAGCAGAGAGATTTGGGTCTAAGGCATAGCGTGTCCCCTTCCTAGTGCGACTCTGGGCAAGTTGCAGCACCTCTCTGAACCTCAGTTTCCTTGTCTGTGAAATGGGCACGATCCTGGTGCACTCCTAAGCACCTGAGAACTCAGGCAATGAAGTGGAAGCCGTTGGCATTGGTTGGGATGTGCTGGGATTTGACAGGGAGACAGCACTAGAAATGGTGGCGACTATAAATAGTACCACTTTGCTTCTAGTTTCTGGCAAAGAACCATTAATTTCTTGGACCTCTTCATTTTCTCTCTCCCTCCGTGACTAATGGTAGCAGGTGGCTTTCTCTCTGGGACTGTTTTTTCACAGAAACAAAATTGTGTGTGTATTTATTATTGCTGCACAGGAGTCATCATATGCAACTAGTAAGGAACAACACTGAGCTGTGAGCCCTGGCTGGGTCATGTGCTAAGGCACCCACCACCCACAGCCCCCCATCACCCACAGTCCCCCCATCTGCAGACTCCTGCCACCCACAGCTTCCCACCACCCATAGCTCCCCATCACCCACAGTCCCCCATCCACAGACCCCAGCCACCCACAGTCCCCCATCTACAGCCTCCCCACCCACAGTCCCCCATCCACAGACCCCAGCCACCCACAGTCCCCCATCTACAGCCTCCCCACCCACAGTCCCCCATCCACAGACCCCAGCCACCCACAGTCCCCCATCTACAGCCTCCCCACCCACAGTCCCCCATCCACAGACCCCAGCCACCCACAGTCCCCCATCTACAGCCTCCCCACCCACAGTCCCCCATCCACAGACCCCAGCCACCCACAGTCCCCCATCTACAGCCTCCCCACCCACAGTCCCCCATCCACAGACCCCAGCCACCCACAGTCCCCCATCTACAGCCTCCCCACCCACAGTCCCCCATCCACAGACCCCAGCCACCCACAGTCCCCCATCTACAGCCTCCCCACCCACAGTCCCCCATCCACAGACCCCAGCCACCCACAGTCCCCCATCTACAGCCTCCCCACCCACAGTCCCCCATCCACAGACCCCAGCCACCCACAGTCCCCCATCTACAGCCTCCCCACCCACAGTCCCCCATCCACAGACCCCAGCCACCCACAGTCCCCCCATCTGCAGAATCCCTCACACCCCTGTCTCCCCACTGTCCGACCCCCCACAAACCCCTACTGCCAACAGCCTCCACGCTTTGGGACTTCCCCACGAGTCTCACAGCCCCACCTGTGATAAATACCTTAAGGCCGTTTGCCACAGAGGCGCAGGTGTGCAGGTGAGGCAGAAAAGCTCCTCCCGGTGGCGCACTGCTACAGTGTGCCGCTTGGGAGCATGGTGGCGCTCCTGCCGAGGGTTCGGATCCCACATACAGACCGGTTCCCGCTCACTGGCTGAGCGAGGTGCGGGCGCAGCACCGAGGTTTGCGGTCCCATTGCCGGTCCCCGGTCCGGTGCGGGCGCAACACTGAGGGTTGCGATCCGTTTCCGGACACGAAAAAAGACAAAAAAAAAAAAGGAAAAAAGAAAAAAAAGAAAAAAAGAAAAGCTCCTCCCACACACAAGCCTGTGCCTGGCCTTCAACGGGGACATCATCCACCACCTACACCTCCATCCGCCCCACACACCCCTCGGCTGGCCCCTGAAAAGCGCATCTAAGAACCCTTCCACGACACCACACTTCCGAGCACTTAGCTCTGCCCAGGCACTGCTGTAAGTCCTTTTGTTAAAACAAAGATAGATGGGTTTCCTCAGTGGGGGACACCCCAGGACTTCCATCTGCCAAGGCCCCTCTGGACTGTCACAAAGACTGGTGAGAGCACACAGTATTTGCAGACAGATTTGGCCAGGGAACTCTCTTCCCTCCTGGAGAATGTCCCCAAGGATGTGTCATCCACGTGTCACCTGGGAGCTGGTTAGAAATGCAGAATCTGAGGCTACACCCCTTCCTACTGAATCAGAATCTGCATTTTAATGTCCATGTGATTCATTCATATGCTCATTATGGGTTGAGGTGCACTTTTGTAGATCATGGGTCTGGACCTTGGCCACATATTGGAATCACTTTGGAAGCTTCAAAAACTACTGATGTCCTGGTCCCACCGCCAGATTCTGATTTAATTGGTCTGAAGTTTGTCTGGTCATTGGGATTTTGAAAAGCTCCCCAGGTGGTTTTAATGTGTGACCAGCTGCATGGATGGGTGAACATTAGCAGGGGCAGGAGCAGCAGCTTGGAAATTTGCAGGGAAGCATTTAAAGTCTTGGAACAGCCCCAGCGAGAACAAGGGAATGTCAAGGGCCCAGGCTGGCTGGTGGCAAAGCCTATACCAGGATTCAGTGTCCTAACACCAGCTCTCAGTCTGGGCTCTTAGAGTTGTTCCTGTCACACCATCTTATTGAAAATTGTCCTGCCTGATCCTAAGCCTCAGCTTTGGTCCTCAAACAAAAACCTTTATTGGGCTCTGATCCTGAGGCTGCCTCTGCACATACTTTGCTGGCTGCTGGCTCAGGGTTCCAGCAAACGGTCCCTGAAGCCAGTAAAGCTTAAGCCGTCAGAGTGAGAAGGCGTTAACACGTTGTTGGAGCAAAGCCCCGTTATGTAATGAGCACCCGCTGGAAGGCAGCTCAGCTTAATGCAGAGCATGGGACTCCAGGCAGGCATGCTGTGAGCCCCAGCCCTGCCTCCTGGCAGCCGTGCTGCCTCACACTGCCCCTCTAGCCTCAGTTCCCCCATCTGTAAAGTGGGCACAACCGTATTCCTCTGTCACAGGTGGTGTGCAGACTGAATAAGATAAAGAAGGTGATGGAGCCCCCAAACAGTGCCATGTGGTGGGTGTGAGATCAGAGCTACTTGAAGGGCTCTCTCTCTTTGGGCACCGACACAGGAGGCCTGGGTTGTAACCCAGCATCTCAGGCCCCTGAGTAGCAGGAGCACCCTGACCCCTCCCTCGTCTGTTTCTCCTCCTCTGCCAGTCGGTTCTGTGCATGTGTCTGACTGTGGCTGAAAGGAGACCTGCGCCTTGTCAGTGGGGACTCCCCAGCTTTCTTGGGCTGATCAAGCAGCAGAAGTTGGCCAGGCTGACCACGGTTGGTGGCATTCTTCCTGCTGCGTGGGCCCACTCCTGACAGCAGCTCTTACTGTCATGGTTGTTTTATTTTTATTCCTCCTTCTGGGAGCCCAGAATCAATGGGAAACATCAGCACTGCTGCCTCATTATAGGCAACAGAGGAAGTGGGGGTGAGTGGGTATTCTCAGCCAGGGCCTCGGGGCAGTCAGTGGAGATCAGTGTAACACTTTCATCTTACAGGAGGGGAAACAGGTTGCAGAGAGCCCAGCACTTCACCAAGGCTGCACTGGGGCCAAACTAGAACCTGTTTCTCCTGGCTGCAGGTCTGGCGTCTTTCCCCGGCCTCCTATGACTGCTAGAATCAGCAAGGAATTGAGGTCGGTGCTCCAGAGTCCTCACCCCTCAGACAGTGTGTCCATATGAAATGCAGATTCCTGGACCCCACTGACTGGCTCAGGATTGGGGTAGACCCGGGAATCAGTATCCTTAGCAAGCTCACCTGACCAAAGCTTTAGATCATTGCTGTGAACACTTCCTACTGGTCCCAAAGCCTCATGCCTGTGCTCTGGGTCTTTCCTCTCCAATCCTGCATCAGAATTTACCATTCAGTCCTGCTGGCTATGCCAAAACAATTAAAAAAAAAAATTCACCATTCAAGTATCCCAGCCCCTGAGTAATCTACTCTCATTTACAGCATCACTTGTCTGGCACATCTGACAACAGCAGGTGCTGGGTGAAGGGACAGAGATGGTGGCGTGTCGTGGTTGAGCACACGCACCCTGAATCTGGGAGGCCTGGGATCGGATCCTGCATCTGCCACTTCTGCTGTGTGACCTCGGCACGTTTCCTCACCTGTGGGATGAGATTACTGATGCCTCTGTCCTAAGTTGTTATGAGGATTGGATGAGTTAATATAAGTAAAGCGTGTAGGTTAGTATCTAGCAGGTAGTAAGTGCTGTATAAACGTTAGCTATTATTATGGGCTGAGAATGTTTTGCTGAGCGAGGTTAAGACACTTTCCTAAGGTTACACAGCCACTTTTTAGCAAAGTGGTTCGGAGCNGCATCTGCCACTTCTGCTGTGTGACCTCGGCACGTTTCCTCACCTGTGGGATGAGATTACTGATGCCTCTGTCCTAAGTTGTTATGAGGATTGGATGAGTTAATATAAGTAAAGCGTGTAGGTTAGTATCTAGCAGGTAGTTAAGTGCTGTATAAACGTTAGCTATTATTATGGGCTGAGAATGTTTTGCTAAGCGAGGTTAAGACACTTTCCTAAGGTTACACAGCCACTTTTTAGCAAAGTGGTTCGGAGCTCCTACCCTGATCCACACATTCCCTGCCTGGGTACCTACAGCTTCCCCACTCCTGCCGGCCAGATGCAGCTCTGAGGGAGGGTTATAGATTGGCAGAAAAGACCCTGCCCACTCCCGTGAGCCAGGAAAGCAGAGTCTATGGAAACCAGGTGGCCAAACACAGTCACAGCTCAGCTTCCCTGGGCCCTGAGAGTCCCTAATGGGGACACAGGCCTCTGGGGACGGTGTGACAGACTCTCAGACTCAAAAAGCTCAATTTTTATTATGCCAACACCCATTTATTCTCAAAGCTTATTTCCATTTTTTTGAAAGAATTTACACTTAGAATTTGCATTTTGGTCTAAGGGAAT